GGGGCTGTGGTCCTGGACGGGTCCTCTGTCCCCCCTCCCAGGTGCTCTGTCACTCCTCCAATTCCCCTTGTCCCTCACCCTTGTTGTCTCCACAGATGCTGAAGAAGATGGAGCAGATGAAGAAGAAAGCAGAGGCCGTGGTGAGCACGGTGGATATCTCGGAGAGGGAGAAGGTGGCCCAGCTGCGGCGGTGAGTGGTGAAGCTGGGATCCAGAACCTTCCTGTCGTGCTGGGCTCGATCGTGGGGACAGCTCCTGCATGTAACCCAGCCAGGCTGGAAAGGGCTGGGCTAGATCTGGGTGTAGGCTGAGGGGTGGGAGAGCAAGCAAGGGAGCCCCATCTTGGGGCACAGAGCCCCAGAGGAGTGGTGGGACCAGTATCGGTCTTGGGATATGTCCAAAAGCCAAACTGCTGGAGCTGGGCTGGGGTGTTGGGGTCTCGGTCTCATCTTTGGCCGTTCTCCCGCAGCATCTACAAGAAGGCTGGGCTGGCCAAGGAGAAGCGGCAGGTCACCTACTTGGTGGCTAAGAAAGGTGTAGGACCCCGGGTGCGCCGTCCTCCCGGCGTCAAGGGTCAGTTCAAGGTCGTCGACAGCCGCCTGAAGAAAGACGTGAGGGCTCAGAAGCGCAAAGAACAGAAGAAAAAACGCCATAAGTGATGTGGGATCAGCTCCGTCCTTGGCGAGGGACTTGGCTTGGGGCACAACTGGCTCCTGTCCTCCCACCGCAGCTTGGGAGCAGCCAGCTCGCCCTGCTGCTCTCCCCCATCGAGGGGACAGGGCTGTGACTTAGCCACACGTTGCTGTTAGTGCCTTGATGTGACATTGCCTCCTGTCCACCGGTGGGGCTGGGAGGGTTTATTTGGCCTCAGCACTGTAGCATTGACCCCCTTCCTGTGCTCGCTGTGTGGCCGCATCTCCAGGTCTCTCCGTTGCCAGCTCTCATGGGAGACTGTTGCACTGCGGAGATGGCACAAGCATCCACGCCAGCCCTCACTGTCCCCAGAGAGGTTGTGGCTCAGGGGGATGGCTCCCTGGGCCATATTTGTCACCAAAATCGCTGGACAGTGGGTGCTGAGCCCTGAGACAGGCAGGTGCTGGTGGTCTGCACAGAGCGGCTCTGTTAAAGAATTAAACCCTGGTCTGAGGATGCCCCAGGATGCGTCTTGATGAGGTGAGGGCCTGCACTGTGAGCTGCTGTGTCCTTCCGTGCGGTGTTTGTTAGAGAGGAGCGTGGAGTGGATGGGGTCAGCGTGCCTCTGCTAATGCCTTGGGGAGCCCACCCGCCTCGTTTTATCTCTGAATCTGAACCGCAGCTGACCTGCCTGACATCCACCCTCCCTGTCCCGACCACAGCAGCCACCCCATCCCCTCCGTCCCCAGGTGTGGGACCCTGCAAGTTTCAGAAAAGAAAGACCAAGAGAAAATCTGTACTTGAACAAATGCATTTATTTAGACCCAGGGCAGGGGCTGGGGGACTGTGGCTTCCCTCCATCGACCAGTACCTGAATCTCTTTTGATGGGATTGCGGAGGTGTCCCTAGGTCCCTCTTGGTGACAGTGGCACCACGCTAGTGCCAGGGGGGGTGTCAGGGTAGCACCCGTGACTCCCAGGGAGAGGTGAGTGGCGGTGGGGACCTGCTTGGGGAAGGGACAGTTGGTCTGGCAGGAGGGAGGAGGTCTTGGTCCTGTTCAAGTGCCGTGGGGAGTGGAGAAGCCAGACCTGGTGCCCCAGAGCTCCCTCGAGGTGGTAGGGGGGTGATGCACTGGGGTGTCCCTGTAAAGCCACCACTTCGCTGCTCAGCCAAAGTCAAGTACCTGGGGCAGGGGCTTGCAGAGCAGACTCTGCCCGTGGGTCTGCATCAGTCCCTTGGCTGTGGCTCTGGTGGGTCCTGGTGGGGTGGGAGTCACACTAGAGGGGGAAGTGGCCGAGTCCAGAGCGAGCCGTGCCAGCAGTGCTGCAGGCATCTCTGGGCCACACTGCCCCTGGGGAGGGTTGGAGCCATGGCCAGGGTGGGAGCAGAAACCATCAGCCGTCTGGGTCCTTGGTGGCTGAGGGAGTTGGGGTGAGTGGAGGGGACCAGCTGCCAGGCTTCAGGCTGTGCTTAGAAGTTTTCCTGCTCCTGACCATCAGTATCTTCAAAATCAAATATAGGGGTGCTGTGAGAGGAGAGCCACCCCTGGCTGCCCCTGTCCCTCCAGCTGAGCTCCGACCCTGGGAGCTCAGCATCCATCCCCCATGTGACCCCCAAACCCATGGATGAGGAGCTCCATAAGGTGCACAGGAGGAGGGCCAGGGCTGATCAGGGTCTGAGCCCCCTCAAAGTGGGAAGTGGTCGAGTCCCCATCCCTGGGGATATTTAAAAGCTGGGCAGACGAGGTGCTTAAGGACAGGGTTTAGTGGTGGGATGGCAGGGTTAGGGGAACAGTTGGGCTTGATGATCTTAAAGGGCTTTTCCAACCTGAACGATTCTATGGCTCTAAAGAGGACAGCTCCTCTCTGCATCCCACAACCTGAATGCCTGGGTCCTGCCTGACCAAGCTGTGGCCAGCAAGTCCCCATTGATCAATCCAGGGCTCCAGACTCCTGGCTGGGCTTCTCCATCCCCACTCACTGCCCTCCTCCCCCTGGGTCTGGGGGCTCAGCACAGCCCAGGTTGGCCCCTCAGGGTTGGCGGGTCCCATTCAGGGTCCCAATGGTGGGGTGACCCCTGTGCTTGGCCCCTACCTGAGCTGCAAGGTGCACTGTAGGCAGCATCCGTGCGGTCATCTGCAATGGGAAGGATGGTGACCAATGGGCTCAGGGAGAGCTGCTCCCATTAACGAGCCAAAGCTCATCAATGTGAACTGAAAGTTCAGCCAGACCCTCTCTGAGCCATTGGGGTTGCAAGGGGTGGCAGCGGGGCCAGACACCCTGGGGCCATGTCCTCAGGGGGGCTCACCCGTCTCGTAGTAGTCATACAGCGTCACGGTGGCCGGCTGGAGGTTCCTCACTGGGAAGTCCTGTGTGGCGGCAAAGGCGAAGGTCTCCTCCTCCTTTGTCAGCTGTGGAGATGGCCCGAGGGTGAGGCACAACCATCCATGGTGCGGCAGTGTCCCCATGCCCCAGCACACGGGGGTCTTGCTCCTGCCCCTGTGCTCCATCTCACCTGGTCCAGGTAAATCGTCACCTGGGCGGGCTCCACCTCCACCTTCTTCACCAGCCTCTGCTTCTTCAGCTGGAGGGACACGGCTCAGGGTGGGCACCAGCTGCTCGGTGCGTGCCCCAGCCAGGGCCAGCACCCCAAGTGGGTGCCACTCCATGTCCCAGTGCCCCCGAGGGGCAGGGACTTGGTGGCAGGGTGGGTGCCCCAGTGGGGCCGAGAGGGTCCTGGGGGCAATGGGGGGCTTCTCACCTCCACCACAGAGCTCTTGTCCGGGATGTAGCCAGACGGCAGCTTGGCCTCAATGACAACCATGTTGGTGGCGGGACGCTCCCCAGTGTACCTGCAAGGGCCAAGCCGTGGCATGGGGTTGGGCTCTGCCCCCCCTCCTTGGCTGTTCCTGGCCCCCCCAAACTCTGGGGGCAGCCCCAGCCCCTACCGTGCCCGGAGGAGGAGGCGGAAGTGGGTGCGGGCATCCCTGGTGCACTCCCTGGGCTCCGTCTCCACGTGGAGGTCGAATGCCCCCGTGCTCGGAGGGGGCGGCACATTATAGCGCAGGGTCACCTGGGGTGACGCAGGAGGGTTAGAGCCACTGAGCGGGCACCGCACCGGGACGGGGACCCCGGGCCATACCCACCTGCACCAGGGCACAGCCCTGCCCGTGGGCTCGCACCCTGTACGTCCCCGGCAGCTCGTGCAGAGCCGCCCGCTGCAGCACCAGCCGGTTGCTGCTGTGCAGGGTAAATTTCTGCTCGGTGCCCATCGGGGACGTCACCGTCACCATGAAGTCACTGTTGTTGCTGTATGTCAGGGAGGCGTACTTGGCCAGGGCTTGCAGGGCCACCACAGTGTCCTGGGTGTGGAGAAAGCACCGAGCCAGGGTGACCCCTAACTGCAGGTACGAGGGGATGCTCTGGAGCAGCCCCACGGACTCTGGCACCAGTACCTGTGTGGAGGCGAAGCCACCGTAGGGGTTTTGCTGCTTGCTGAGCCAGCGGACAATTTGGGAAGCGATCTTCAGGTTGGCAGAGGACACTTGGGGCTGGGAGAGGTAGGCCAGGAGGACGTAGGCGGTCATCTCCACCTCTGCCGACGCAGCAGCAGCCCAGGAGGACTGGGAGCTGGGCAGAGCCTTCACCTTCCTCCGCCAGTAGAGCTGCCCGTCTGGGAGAGAAGGGGATGGGAGCTCTGCCCCCTGCTCCAGGGATCCCAGGGGACCGGGGGTGGGATGGGGTGACCCAGGCAGAGGGTGGCACTGCCCAGGGGTGCCCCTGCCTGTGCCAGGTGGTACCTGTGCTGGCGTTGTGCTTGGCCAGGCTCTGCAGCTGGGTTTGCTGCTGCTCCCTGAGTCCCGCCAGCCCAAAAACATAAGCAAGCAGCGCCTGTGTGTAGAGGTCGTCGGTGTCCGCAGCCTCCAGGCACTGCAGGGCTGAGCTCACCTTCGGGTCCTGGCATGGGACTGGAGTCAGGAGCCAGCCCACTGGTGTGGGCATCGCTCAGAGACCCCCATTCTGCCCAGTGAGACCAGTTGCGCCCAAGTCAGGCTAGGAGGTGGCTTGGAACAGCTGGGCTCCCTGTCCCCACCCCACCAGCCCCTCCAGGGAAGATGGGGTCATCCTCACCGTTGGGGACAGCCCCAGCTCCAGCATTGCAGCCGTGACATAAGCTGACAGCGAGAGCTCGTCCGAGACGCCACCCTGCAAAGGGGACAGCAGGAGATGGGTCTGGCCATGCCGTGCCACCAGCGCAGGGAGTTCCCCACTGCCTTGAGCGCACACCAGGGATGTGCTGGGGCCAGCCCAGCTCTGGCTGCATGTCCTCCCCCCCGCAACCCACAGAATCACAGAATCACAAGGGTTGGAAGGGACCTCGGGAGATCATCTAGTCCAACCCCCCTGCTAAAGCAGGCTCTCCTAGAGCATTCTACACAGGACTTCATCCAGGCGGGCCTTGAATATCTCCAGAGAATGAGACTCCACAACCTCCCTGGGCAGCCTGTTCCAGTGCTCCCTTAGAGTAAAGAAGTTCTTCCTCATATTCAACTGAAACCTCTTGCGTTTCAGTTTGCACCCATTGCCCCTAGTCCTGTCGCTGGACACCACTGCAAACAGACTGCTTCCGTCCTCGTGGCTTCCGCCCTTAAGACATTTGTATGTGTTGATAAGGTCCCCTCTCAGTCTTCTCTTCTTCAGGCTAAACAAGCCCAACTCTCTCAGCCTTTCCTCGTAGGGGAGGTGCTCCAGTCCCTTTATCATCCTAGTTGCCCTCCTCTGGACTCTTTCTAGGAGTTCCTCATCTTTCTTGAACTGGGGAGCCCAGAACTGGACACAGTACTCCAGGTGGGGTCTCACCAGGGCAGAGTAGAGGGGGAGGATAACGTCCCTCGACCTGCTGGCCACACTCCTCTTAATACAGCCCAGGATACCATTGGCCTTCTTGGCAACAAGGGCACCCTGCTGGCTCATGGTCAGCTTGTCGTCCACCAGGACTCCCAGGTCCCTCTCAGCAGAGCTGCTTTCCAGCAGGTCAGCCCCCAGCCTGTACTGGTGCATGGGGTTTGACCTCCCCAGGTCAAACCTGCAGGGCGTTGTTGAAGAGCTTCCCCACGCTGCGGAAGCAGCCCGTCTTCTTCTGCTGCTTCTGCAGCCAGAGCAGCGCGTCCGTGATGTGCCGCTCCTCAATGGCCACGTAGGCTCTGGCTTGCCCGAAAGACTTGAGGACAAACGCTGTCAGCCTACGAACCGGAGAGATGTCCGTGGGCTGGGGTATGCTTGGTGGCAGGAGGAGCTCTGGGACAGCCGGAGACACCGCTGTACAGCCTGCCTGAGCCCTGCAGAGTCCCTCACCAGGTATTGCCCCCGGCATCATTCTTCCCGAAGGCGCTGTAAGAGCCATCATCGTGTTTGTAGAGCAGCTCTCGCTGGTACCCTGCAGGGAGGAGATGAGGACAGGTCTTTACATGGTGGTCTTTACGCCCCTGGGGGACCCCAGAGGCAGCCTGGAGCCCATCCCGGGGCACAGGTAGAGAATGAGGAAGGGGGATATGGGGCGGTAGTGTCCCTCAGCAGTGGGACAGGGAAGGAGGAGACCGGGGACGCTCACCGCTCTGCAGGAAGCCCTGTGCCTTGGCGCGGATGTCGGGGTCCAGCTGCCCGGTCTTCTCCAGGTACTGCTGGATGTAGATGTTGGGGGCGAAGCGGACCATGTTCTGCTCCCCACAGCCATAGGGCATGGCCAGGAGGCGGTCCAGGTTCTGCAGAGCATTGCCCATGATGTCGCCTGTCCCGGGGAGACATGGGGAGCACCATCACTGGCTGGGGGGCCCTGCCACCAGCACCCCGTATCCACTTCCAGCTCAGCTTTGGGCAGTTCCACCTCCTGCAGAGCTTGGGCCATGGAGCTCTGCGCCCTTTCTGCCCTAGGTGGTCCCCTGTCCCCTGCCTGCCCCTTACCCATCACGGTGATGTGGGCTCGCTGGGAGCCCTCCAAGATGTTTGCAGGAACCTCCAGGGAGACTTCTTCAGTGTCTGTGGGGATGAAGGGCAATGGCAGTGGACATGCCAAGCTCCTCCTGGCCCAGCCCCATGGCACCCTTGCCCACCCCCTTCCTGCTCCAACCCTCCATGAGCTCAAGGCTGGGTTGGGACATCTCAGCCAAGAGCATCTATGGACCCTGGTCCTTGGCTCCTCTGGCCTGGTGGCCCTTGCTACCAGTGGCCAAGCGTCCCTGCCCCACGGCCCCACAGCACTGCCAGACCCCTCCAGCTGGTCCTACCTTCCTGGCAGAGCAGAGAGTTGTGTGCCTTCTCCACCAGGATCCCCCCAGGCTGTGGGGAAGAAGCAGCACCGAGTCAGTTGGAAGGGACTCGCTGTGGCCCCCAGGGTCATGCCTGCAGCCCAGGCTCAGGGTTGGGTGCTGTCCCGCTCCTGGTCCTCCCGCTGCACCCCCAAGGGCTGCTTGGACCCTGTCCCCAAGCCCATCCCACTTTCATCCTCCATAACCCCTCTGACCTGCACCAGCAAGGGCTTTATCACGGTGTCCACACGCCCCTGGGCTGGCACCACAGGCATCTCGTTGCCACAGAGCTCCTTGGTGCTGAGGGCCTCAGTGCTGACGGTGATGTTCACCTCCCCTGCAGATGCAAGCGGTGCACTCAGTCCCCATGGAGCCCCCCCAGCCCACACTGCAGCCCCATGGGCTTGCATCAGCCCTGGGGCTTTGGCCGGGGCTGGCTGGATTGGGATGGCGGTCACCAGGTTAGAAGCAGCACTGGGAGGCAATGGGGAAGGTGGGAGTGGAGCAGAGGAGAGCTTCCGTAGTGACATTGCATTTGGTCCTGTCCTCCCCACCCACCCCATTCTCTGAGGGGTCCCCAAGCAGCAGGGCAGGGGAGTCCTCCTGTGGCCCCCATGTCCCATACCCAGGCTGGTGGCTCGCACGCCCCATCGGAAGGTCCTCGCTTCATCTGTGCAGATGCAACCACTGTATGCCTCGTCTGCGCCCACCGACACCTCCAGCTCCGCCGACTCTGCCAGTGTCACCTGAACCTGCCGGACCACGGCCACGGCTCCATCAGCCCCCGCCAGACCCCAGGCCCAGGGCACCCTCCCCAGCCCCGCTCACCTGCAGGCACTGCCGCAGGTAGTTGAAGACTGTGGCCACGAGGGTGAAGGCTTCGTGGCGGACCACAGCATAGGGCAGCGCCAGCTCCACGAAGAATGGCTTGAAGGCCGTGAGGGTGATGGCAGGGGCCAGCCCCAAGCCCAGCGGGGCCGTGCAGAACATCCCGGCTTCCCACTCAGTGATGGCATCGGGCACTGTCACCGTCACCTCCGCAGAGCCCCCCTCCCTGCGGGATGGAGAACATCATGAGGCCATCACACCATGTTCACCTACAGCTGGAGTCATCCCCATCTGGGCTGGCTCTCTCCCTATGGGAGAAGGAAGTGTTCTGAGGTCCCCAACCTCCCTCCATGCAGGAGGGACCAGCCTCACTGGGGGACTGTCCTCACTCACCCCACAGGGACCAGGTCCCACAGCCACGTCTCTGGGAAATACATCCGGGGTGATGGTGACTCTTCCTGGACTGGTGGCTCTTCCTGGACAGCCATGACTGGGGAACGACCATGCATTACTTCTGGGGCACCATGGTTCACTGCTTCTGGGACAGAACTTTCTTTCAGCCTATATGTGATACGGGAATCAAAGCCACCTGGAAAAGGCAGAGCAGAAATTAGGGTTCTGTGCATCTCAGCTGGACCTTGCCTGCAGACCTCAAAGGTGGCCAAAATTCTTTTCAATCCTCTTCAATCCCTTTGATGTTGAGTGTATTTTCAGGATGGCTCCAGGTTCCCCTGAGGACATGGGAGCCAGGAATGGGCACCTCTTTTCTCCCAAGAAGACTCAGTGAAGTGAGCATGCAGACGACTGTGCTGACCTCTGGGACCTGGCAAGCCGAACCTCTTTCTGCAAACATCACTGGTCTGGGCATTGGTGAAAAGTTTCAGTGCTGCGTCCTGTGAAAAAGAAAAGAGGTTTTGTCCATCTCCAAAACCCAGCAGGAGGAATATCCCCATCCCAGCAGCAAGTAGTCACGGGGCTGCAGAAGAAGACAAGTCGAGAAGGACTGGAGCCTGGTGTCCATGGGAAAGGGAAAGACCTTTGCCATGAGTGTGGCTTTCATGGGATGTTGCTGTGGTTTCTCGGCACCCTGAGCAAACCACAGCTGGCTCCTGGATGAAGAAGGACCAGGAGGCACAGACGGGCAGGGCCTTTACCTGAAATAACTTGTAGGTGTCCATCTGGGTATTCCTCCAAAAAGGGAAAGGAAAGTGAGGCCCCCATGGACGGCGAAAGAAGCCTTGACGTCTCAGTTCTAATGGGGCGAAGGGAATGTCAAAATCGGGGGGATAGTCCAGGGAAAATTCTGAACAGGGTAGCGGGTCCCGGATTCTTTCAGGGTAGTCAAATTCAGGGAGTACTTTGTAGACCTGGGAATAAACACGTGTGCTAGGTACGAAACCAGCCAGGCACCTACCCCCTTCCAGGAGTAGGACTGCCCAGGATCCGCCATGGCACCACGTCCCTGTGGGGAAGGTCCAAGCCAATGTCATCTCTTCCCCCCCCACCCCCAGCTGGTCCCTGGGGCTGCAAAAGGGGCCCTGGGCAATGCCACCACTCACCGCCTCTGCGTTGAGCTCAGCTTTGGGCTTCAGGAGCAGCACACTGCGGTCCACAGCACGGACGGCGCACAGGGACCCTGCAGCAGCCTCCAGGTCCAGCTGCAGTGCCGAGCCGGGCAGAGCCCTGTCCTCCGAAAAAGCCATCTTCACCTGGGGAGGGACAGGGGCATCAGGGTGCAAGGGCAGGAGGGGGAGCCACCTCCCATGGAGGAGCAGGACCCAGCCACAAACATGGAGGTCTCTTCTAGACAAGGATAAAACCAGGCCCGACGGTTTGGGGATCAGGGCATGGGTCAAAGAGACTGTGACACTGTGATACGTCTGGAGCAGGATGGACCTCAGGGCATGCAGCTATGGACAAGCCATGGAGCAATTCCCCCATCTCCAGCAGCCTCCACTCACCTTGTTGGGGAAGCACTTGGCCACCTTGAGCTCAATGCTGTCAGCCACCATCTCATTGTTGGGCAGCACCGCGTAGCCCAGCACCTTGGCTTTGGGTGCCAGCTCATGGCCGATGGGCAGCTCCAGGGAGATGGAACCTCTCGGCCCTGTGCCGTGGGAAAGGAGGGGAGATGAGGACCAGGCATGGAAAGCAGAGCCCTGCAGAGCCCGTCCACGCCTCAGGACCTACCAGCCCCTGCAGGCAGCTCTTTCCTGAGGACGGTGGCAATGGTCCCCTTGGCCAGGACCTGCAGAGGAGGAGATGGGAACAATGACACCAATGCTGAGCAGGGAACTGAAATGATCTGATGGAGGATGGACCTAAGGGCGAGAATGTCAGGGTGCTTTTTGACCTTGCCCTGTCTCCAGCCCCCCCAACATCTCCCATTGGCATGCAGGTCCAACAGTGCCAGCAGACACCTCTACTAACAGGCGTAGGTCCCTCTGTCTAGCCAGGACAGATTGCTTGTTTTCTTGTCCTCAGGGACACAACCGTGAACACGTGTGTGGATGTGGCCCTTCGCACACAACTGCCCTAATGCCTGCTGCCCTTGCTCCCAGGGCCAGGGCTCACCAGGAAGACCACATCCAGGCTCTCCAGCTGAGTCTTCAAGGCCTCCTTGCTGAAGACGTAATCCACCCAGAGCTGCTGGGGCTGGCCACAGGGCAGCTCGCTCTCCAGCTGGCGAATCTGTAGGAAGCTCCTGCTTGCTGAAAAGAAGGAGCTGATGTATGCATAGGCATCTTGGTAGACGAGCGTCGAGCTGTCGTCCTGGGTGTGAGCTGTCTTGTTGACTTGACCCTGAGGAGTGGAAGTAGAAATCAAGGTGGTGAAGCCACCCAGAATCCACAAGGTGCTGGTCCTATCACCAGGCACTGTTGATGCAGGTTCTTGAGTTGGGGAGGTGCCCAGCCCCATACTACTGGACCAAGCAGTACAGGGAACCCCAAGGGTTGGGAGATGGGTCACTTACACGCAGGAAGACTACTCCACCCCAAGTAGAGGTGTCCAGCTCAAAGGAGGCTCTCCCCGATCTGTCTGTCAGGAAGGTCTGTCTTGTATCTCTTCCTTGCTGGCTAACGATGAGCAAGAGCTGCTCCTGTGGCAGCACGGTGCCGTCGGCTCCCTTCAGCAGCATCTGCACCGGGACAGAAGGGGAGATGCCCCAGGCTGGGCTGCAGGCGTGGGGCAGAGGGCAGGGGTGGGAGAGTGGGGGTTGGGGTCAGTGGGACAGGGATGGGGTGCAGCAGGGTGCAGGGGAGCCCTGCGGGGTGCAGGGACCCCCCCATTACCGTCCCTGTTCAGCTCCAGCCCTGTGGAGAGGGAGTGGGGAGCTGAGGGTGCTGCGGGGACACAGGGCACAGGCGAGCTGCTGCCAGCTCCCCTGTCACAGTGCAAAAAAGGTCCCTGGATATTTTAGGCTTTCCCTCTGCAGCTGGCAGCTTCGAGCAGAGTTCACACCTCCAGCAAGAGGAGCAAAACCTCCACGGCATGTTTTGGACCTCAAGCCAATGCACAGCTGGCTGCAAAGACTTCACAAAAAGTGCTTCACCAAAGCACCATGACACAGGGCCACCTCAGTACCGGTGGGCCTGGGGCAACCCCTAGTCTTCTTTTTTCCTAAAGCCAAGCCACTGGCAGTCATTCTGGTGGACCGAGATGGTGGGTGAGGTGGATTATCTCAAAGAACGAAGCCATGCCACTGGCCTGGGTGAAACCACGGCTTTGTGTTGCAAGGGCTCAACTTGCTGCTAGCCATAGCATCAGGAGGGCTGTTGGATCTTGGAAAGGTGTTTTTGCCTCCTGCCCCATTCTCGGGTCAGATTTAGAAGTATTGCCTGGCTGACCTAGCTCACATCCCAGCACACGTGGACCTCTAAATCACAGCACTGCTTTTGGGCTTCCCCGGAGAAGACCAATACCCCCAAGCCACATGCATTTGGGTGCACACAGGGATGAATGCAAAACCATGCACCAGCGGCAATGCCCATTCCCAAGCAGGAGAACATCGCCGGCCCTACCTGTCCCATCCTCCACCAGCGATGCCTGGACTTGGAATTGCTTCTGATACATGGAGCCAGTCATGTTGAAGGCAGTCAACAAAACCTCTGTTGAAAAGCAGCCGTTCTTCTCGGTCTGGAGGGAGAGAGTCAACCCCATAAGCAGCATTCCCGGGAAGGGGCTGTCCCCATGGCACCCATGCTCCCCGGCACTGCTCACCTGCCCTCCGACCTCGATGCAGTTCATCTCTTTCTTGGGGGCACGATGAAGTCTGTGTCGGGTCCTGATGTGCCTGAAGGGCTGGCACAGGTTGGCCTGGACCTTCCCCTGGACGGGCTTCCCATAGGTGTACCTGTTGGGTGGAGGGTGGTGAGGGTGTGCCTGATGGGCCACACCACGTCAGATCCCCCTATCCCCTCCCTCTTCCCGGTGCAGCCTGTTTTGGGCTCACCGTCCACAAATCTCCATCTGGAATTTCTTGTCCTTCTCCAGGACCACAGCAGGGATGTTAATGGTCATCTCAAACTTGGGCAGCACTGATGGAGAAGCAAAAGGAGAGTAGGTTGTCGCTCCCAGGACAAACATGATGGGTGTTTGGGTGGCCAGGGGGGCAAAGATGTGCTGCCCACAGGGACGTGCTCGGGGCTGCCACACCTCCTGGTTCCCACGCACCATATTCCTCCACGCTGAAGGAGTGCCTCTTCCCGTCCACCTCGATGGTGTACGTGCCCAGGGCCGGCTCTGCAGCCAGCGGGAGGGCCAGGTCCACGATGCCCTGCCGGGGGCTCACCTCCCGCCACTGTGCGATGCGGTTCCCGCTGGGATCCTGCACACAGGGACACGTGGCATCAACCCTCCAGGGACGCCGGCACCCCACGTTATAACAGCCCATGGCTGCTTTATGCTTCTCCTCTCCCAGCCACGCTGCTTCCCCAAGCCCACGCTGCCCAGGAGCCCCCCTCCATCTCCCAAACTGACCTTCAGGAGCACAAGGCGCAGCTGCAAGGCAAAGAGGAGATGGTTAGAGGGGACATTCAAAGCCTGCCTTGGGGTCTCACCAGGGTGGGGACATCTATGAAGCCGTGGATGGAGTAGAGCAAGGGTTATTTGTGGGATGCTGTGAACTTCCGACCTTGCAGTTTTCTTTGGGATTGATCTTGAGCCTGTGGGTGGCCCTAGCTGGGATGAGCTGAAGGCACTGCCAGCATGGCACGGAGAGGTGGCATCTCCTAGTGCCTTTACAAGAAGTCAGCAACGATTTCATCTGGGAACCTCCTGCACTTGCAGAGACCCAGATGATTGCTCGGGGGTGCCAGAGACCAAACATGCCTGCAGTCCTGGCATCTGATGGCTTGATGGCCATCGATAGTACTTTCCCTGCTTCCCACGTGCCATCACTACATCCCTTAGCTGAAAGTTTTAGGTGGGTACGTTCCCATGTCCCATGTGCAGTTCTGCTTTCTCTTTTCTTAGCCTGCTGAAGCCTGCATGAACAACGCAGGGGCCCCTGGTTGGGGCAGGACTCCCAAGGGGAAAGGTGCTGGCTGACTCCTGTGAGTCTCTCATGGCTTGCCGAGACTGTAGGAGGGTGGTGCAGTGCAGCCCTGAAGCCTCCCCCCTTCCCCAGCCCTGCTCTCACCTTCTTACTGCTGGGCGTGAAGTCTTTATCCAAAGAGACAACTCGAAACTTCACTGGAAAGAGCAAACAGGAATGCAGGAGTGAGTGGATCCGCAGGGAGGGGGGTTCCTCATGGGGAAAGAGGACGGAAATCCACCCCGAGCCCTGCAGTGGGGCACTGCCCCCCAAGCAGCACAGCCAGCGTGTCCTGGCATTGCCCTGGGCCAATGCTGGGGGTCCCAGTGCAGCCCGGGATGAGCCCCCCTATTTCCATGCAGCGCAGGAGCAAGGCTGAGCCCCCTGCCCCTGCTCCCAGCAGCTCCTTCAGCCCAGAGCAGTGTGCTCCACCCTGCCCCCCTCACCTTGCTGCCCAGGCTTGTAGACAGGCTTGTCTGTCTGTATGAAGATCCCAGGCTCCAGGGCTCTCAGCATCACCTTCTTCTTCTTGGAGACATCCAGGGAATCTCCCTGGATTGAGATGTGCAGGTCTACGATGTCCTCCTTCCCTCGGGCAGGGGCTGGAGCCTGGCAGGTGAAACCCCAGGCAGCCCGTGAGGAGAAGGGGTGCGCCACAGCCAGGATGCTCTGCTCACTCCACGTGCCCCAGAGTGCTCCTCACCCCCAGCGACACCTTCCCCAAGCCAGGGGCTGGGAAGAAGCATCCCCCCTAGACCACAGGTCTGCTACCGGGGGATTATCTCTGCCACCAAATATCTGGGCTGAGCCTAGAGTTGTTTTGCCTGTGTGTGGAGTGAGACCCTACCAAAAGATGGGGAAGTCATGCCTGGTCCATCCCACGCTCAGGGGAGCTGGTAGGGAACTGCTCTGCCTGGAGCCAGCGGGGTGTCCAGGGCATCCCCATCCATGCCTACGGCTGTGCGTGGGGTGACACTCACGGGGAAGGGGATGTTCAGGTACAGATGAGGCTCCTGGACCTTCCTCTCCAGCAGGGTGATGTTTTGGGTCCTGTCCACTCTCTGCAGCTGGATGGTCACGTGGACGGGCTCCTGGAGGCCGCCGAGATGGACCCACAGCATCGCTGTGTAGGGGTGGTAGATCACAGCTGGGGACGTGACCACATAAGTCCTAGCAAGGAGAAGTGCTGATATGAGAGGTGTGGGGATGAGCTACACCCAGTACAGACCCCACAGAGGTCAGAGGAGCTCCTGGGCACACAGAAACCTGTGCTGGGGTGCAGGGGCCACCTCCCCCAGCCTCCCCACTCTGCTTCTGGGCTCCCCTTGGCTTCTCAGCTCAGCAAAGCAAAGGCTCTGCCCCCACATTGGTGGCAAGTGAGGCAGCACCTACAATAAACCATCCCAGAGCCACCAGCCCCAGCAGCCCCAGGTGCCAGCTCCTCGATGCTCACGGGCAGGGACAACCCACGAGCGTTTCCACCCTGGCCAACCATCACATGCACGGGAAGGATTAACTCCCACTGCATACTTCCAAGGAGCCAATGCCCTTCCAGCAGGCCTGGACAGACAGACAGACAGACAGACACAGAGAGGGCTTACAGCGCTGCAGATGCCCCAGCTGCGAGGTGCAGGACGAGGAGCAGCAGGACAGGCAGTGGAGCTGCAAACCTCATGGCTCCAGCTGCAAGCGGAGGTCGGGGACAGCCACAGCCTCCTTCTCCAGGTGTTGGATTGCTGCAGACCTACGTCTGCTCTGCTGCAGGCTCTGGAATGAGATCTTTGCTTCCCATCCAGCGAGAGCAAACAAGGATTGGCAGCAGGATCCAGCAGGGACCTGCAGATATAGCCATGGCAATGTTTACCGTCTGCCCGGAGCCTCCTGGGTTCAAGGCTCTGACAGATTTTTGCAATTTGCGGAAAGGTTCCCATAGGCTACAGAGGCTCAGAACCAGGGGGCAGGACCCACCCACACATTATTTTTCTGGGAAATGATGGCAGGAGGGAACGGGAACGGGTTCCCCAGTTGAAAGTAGGCAGCACATCATGAGAACAGACTGAGTTGGAGGCGATTTCTCGGAAGGGCTTGTTGCCAGGTATTTCAAATTTAGCCAAACAGTAGCTATGTGGGCTGATTGCAGGTCTCAGGCTGTCTTTTTGCCCAGTTTCCTCCAATTTCATCAAATCAGTTATGGGCACAGGAGCAGGACGGTGTTGGGCTGCCTTGCCAGCTCCACCTGCTCTTGTTCCTCTGCGCCCAGGAGCCTGACGCCAGCCAAGGCATGGGCTGAGCTGCTTCTTTCTGCCCCAGTGGGAATTTAGGAAAGTTGAGGCAGCTCCACGACAGCCACATGGTGTCCTGAGTGCATCCCCTGCTTCGGGGTTTTGCAGTCCCCTTCCCTCTGGGGACGCGGGGAGCGGCAGAGGCAGGGCTGTGGGAAGCCATGGATGGGGCCGACCTCTTTCTCATGGGCTCTCGGTTGACCATGGCTGCTGTCCCCATCCCTGCCTTGCTTGAGTATTGCTGGATACCGGCCCATGCTCACCTCCCTGCCCTTCGGGAGCAGCCCCAGATGGCGTCAGGTTCTGGAGGAGGCTGGCACCCCACCACCCCCATGGACACCCCAACATCCCCATGGACACAAGGCAGCAGCACAGCCCCGAGCCCGTCCCAGGATATGGGCATGGGTCAGTGCCCGACAGGCACCCCGGGACAGTTCAAGGTGACAAGGAGCTCAGGGCCATCGGCCCCTGCAGGTCACGGGGCAGGATGCCGTGGGTGCCACACGCAGCACGGCCAAGGGGAGACCAATTTGGGTATAGCAGGGAGGTTCTGCCTCTCCGATCGGTGCCTGTGGGGCTGCTGAGGGGAAATATTGCCCGGGGGATTTGTCACTGGGTGATGCTGGTGACTTTGGAGCAGGAGCCTGAGTGTTTCCCCCAGCCCCTCCTGCCCAGGCACCACTGACTCTGAGGGTGACGGAGCACTGGCCCAGGCTGCCCAGGGGGGTTGTGGAGTCTCATTCTCTGGAGATATTCAAAGCCCGCCTGGATGAAGTCCTGTGTAACATGCTCTAGGAGAACCTGCTTTAGCAGGGGGGTTGGACTAGATGATCTCCAGAGGTCCCTTCCAACCCTTGCCGTTCTGTGATTCTGTGACCCCATGTTGTGCTGTTTCTTCTGCTGCCTTATTGCCCGTGCAATGAACGCTCTCTCTGGTTTGATCTCAAGCTTTTTATTCAGTGAAGCAAAGCGAAGGCACAGCCCCTCGTACACATCGTCAAGGCAGACAGGAGCACTGAACCCCTAATACAAAGCGTGTTTTGGGACACGGGGCTGGCTTCAGTCAGGGGTGGTGGGAAAGAGCCTGAAGAAAGGGAGCTTTCTTGCAAGAAAAACATTTTGCTGCTTCCACTTCCCTTATCCCACTTGCATTTTTCTTCATTTTTCAGCCTGGCTGAGAGGGGACAGGGACAGGGATCGCGCTGGCATCAGCTCACGGGAAACCGCAGCTCCTCAGCGGGCAGCAAAGCGGCTGCTCCCCGGGCAGCCCCCGACCCCCACGGGCTGGGGAGCGGGGCTGGGTTTCGGCATCCTTGCCTCAAACACGTTGCTGCAGGCTCCTGCCAGGTCAGGCAAAGGGGCCGAAGGGATGGGAAAAGGCTGCCAGCCCTTGAGACTGTGGCCATCTGGTGGGGTACGAGGGGTCAGGAGGAGAGGGACAGCCAAGCAGTTGCGATTTTCCTTCACATCGGTCTTGGAGGCTTTAAAACCAGGAATACAGCATGCATGAGATCAGGATCTGAGTCAGCCTGCCCTTCTCTGTCCCAGAAATGTCTCCTCCCTCCTCCAACAAATGCCCCACCTGGAACCCATCCCCACCAGCAGCCCATCGGCTCTGATGGGCCGGGAGGGCTCTGAGCCACCCGGGCCAAGCCAGGCACTCCTTGGAGCAGCCCCGTGCACGGTGTGCTGAGGGGAGCAAGCTGAATGTCACACAGCCAGTGGCCTCAAATCTACCAATCTCACCCCAAAAGGGAAGGGAAGGCGCCATCCCACTGGCAGTGCCTAAGCATGGACACAGACTCTCCCCTTGCTCTGGATGCTGGTGCTCGTCCCGCACCTTGCAGCACCCACAAGCACCATCCAGCCTGGCCAAGGAATGGGGAGATGCTCTGCTCTGCACCGGGGAAACGTGCTTTGGGTGCAGCTCTGCTCCCAGAAAGGGGACGGTGCAAGCCCACCAACCTCACTCTGCTCACCTGCACCATCAGGAGTTTTGTCTCAGTGTCCACATTCCCCTGGGCTGGCACCACGGGCATCTCAGTGCCACAGAGCTTCTCAGAGTGCAGGGCCTTGGTGATGACAGTGACATTCACCTCCCCTGCAGAGGCAGATGGGGGACGTGGCTGTGACACTGCCTGTGGGGCTGGCTCCAGCTCAGAGCCATCCCGGGGAGCCAGGGAAGGAGGAGGGTGCAATGGGACCGGGGAATGGGGGGAAGAGGCTGGAGAGTGGAGAAGGAAAAGGGGAGACAGTGGAAGGGAGAGGGAGCTGGGAGGAGGGGGGGGAAAGGATCAGAAAAGCCATGACAATGAGGAGTTTTGCAAGGGGTCCCACTGCTGGGCTCTCCTCTGCCTCCCCAGCCCTTTGCCGTCCCCTCCATACCCAGGCTGGTGGCTTGCACACTCCACTGGAATGTCTTGACTTCGTCCGCGCAGATGCAACCACTGTATGCCTCGTCTGTGCCCACCGACACCTCCAGCTCCGCCGACTCTGCCAGTGTCACCTGAACCTGCCGGACCACGGCCACGGCTCCCTCCACCCCCATTCCCACTCAGTGATGGCATCGGGCACTGTCACCGTCACCTCCGCAGAGCCCCCCTCCCTGCAGGACAGTAGAAGACGGACAGACCTTGCAGGCTGGGTCTGATGGGTACAGCCAGCGCAAGGAGCATGCCAACCCCCTTCCCCTAGGTCCTGGGGACCACTGGTGGCCATCACACGCTTGGAGATATGCAGAGGTACCATCAGTGCTCTCATCTCTTACAGCATCCCCTGCCTACAGGACAGACTGCCGGGGTCGGTGCTGAGGCCCAAGGGCTGGACGTGTCTCAGCGTCACTCCTGGATACACAGACGCTGAACCAGGGGTCTGGGCTCTACACCCAGAGGTGAAGCTGATGCAGTAAGGGCAGCGCCCTGGCTCGAGCTCTGCTGGGGCTCCTTACTCACCCCACAGGGACCAGCTCCCACAGCCACGTCCCCAGGAAGCCCATCTGCATCCCTATGTCCTGCATGACACCTGCCTGCTTGTTCTCCTCCAGGCCGGCTCCTGCAAACAGGGGCACGGGTTGCACACGCTGCCAGACAGGGTGGAAAGGAGTGGGGGGGCATCCCCAGCCACCCTTCTGCAGCCAGCATGGAGCCCGCCACAGGTTCTCACCACTTGCCTAGGTAACTTTGGAACTGGATGTCTAGTGCGCAGCCCAGCTGAGCGTTGGTGACTGTTTTCAAACCTGCATCCTGAAACACAGCACGTGAGAGGGAACAGCACTACGTTAAAGCCCAGAGGTACCAAAACACCTTCCCACCCAGCTCTGAAGCAAGGAATCAGCATGCACTTAAAGCCCCATGCCAGAACAGAGCTCCCGAAGATCAGGTCCCCCCCACCGCGCTGCAGCGGGAGCACAGGAGAGGAATATCTGCACCAGGGACTGTTGGGAAAGATCTGGTGAATCTGCTCCATTCCCAAACAGCCCTGACCCCTGGGTTTGCTGCAAGCGGGGAGACACACACCCCTAAAAAAGCAAGGGAATGCCAGGCCAGTCTATGCCGTTTCCTCCAAGTCCAGATTTGCGATGGGAAAAGCAGAGCTTAGCCCCTTCCCTGTGAAATGCCGCTGTGCCTGGACTGACAGACGCACTTCACATGTCTGTCCCGGGCTGGCAAAGCGAGGGGCAGGGCATGTTATTTGGGCAATGTAAGAGCATGGTTCATGAGCACAGCCGTGGGCTGGGTGAGGCACTGGGTGCCCCCAGCACCCTGAACAATCCTCCCTGGGAGGAAGAGGAGCATGAGGTGGGGCTGGAGGTCTCGTACCTTAACCAGGCTGTAGGAGCCAGGCTGGATGTCAGACACCAGTGCCTCCGAGCGCCCCAGGGTGTACAAGCAACTTGCCCAGCTCTCCCCTGGCACATCAAAACAGTTAATGGGTGGAACTTGTAGGATCGTGATTCCTAATCCATTTGTCTGACAGTGAGGGGAAGCAGGTTCTTCAGCTTCGGGAGGATAGCCATCTTCAGAGAACGTTGGCAGTAAGTTATAGACCTAAACTGAACACGTGAACTTTGGGTGAGAAAGACATGAAATGCCCCTGGCCCAGGTCCAAGCCCTTTTGCCCCTGGCATCACCCCGCAGCTTTTGCACCTCCCCAGTCATGGCAGCGATGCTGCCCCGCGCCAGCCCCTCCGCTGGGACCCATCACTGCCCCATCTCTCTTCTCCCCAAGAGCAGGGGGTGCTTCCCACTCCCTGCACCCTGTTTTCAAGATTTCCACCCCAGGAGGCACCACAGAGCGATTCTGTGGCTCACCCCCCCTGGTCAGCAAAGCACGATATCCCCTGCAAAGCCCTCAGATCCATGGGTGGTGGCAGGGGCTCGCTGGGGGCTCCCAAACACCCGACATTCATCCCGCAGGGGCAGCTCCCCCAAGATCCCTAACATCCTCCCCTGAAATGAGTGGCAGTGCAAAGAAACTGCTGTCCCCATGCCCCAGCAAGTCCAGTCCAGCC